AAAAAAAAAAAAAAAAAAAACCTTTAAAGGCTGATCTAACATCTGTGTTGTGATATCAACTATCATATAAGTAGCATTTAATAAAAATAGTGCTGGGTGGCGTGTCTGGAGACCTGTGATTTAGTCCCTAGCCTGCCACCAGCTTGCTGTGTGATCTTTAGTAAGTCACTCTGTCTCTCTGGATTTCAGTTCCTCCTTTTGTGAAACAGGCATAACAACATCTATCCCTCACAGCAATGTAATGAATGTTTTTTGGGGGGAGGAAAAATGTAGAAATACAAGATTTTGCCAAGAATATATAAAACTGATTGGCCACCTAAAAGTCTATCTGAAACAGAAGTACAAATGTGGCATGGTTTCTCCTAACTCCTCTGACAGAGAAGAATACTGAATATACACAAGTGATTTCAACAACACCAGTTTCCTCAGTTGTTGGAACTAAAACACATTTTAGAAATGCTAGCAATATAATTTGGCCCCCAGTGGAACATTTTCTCAGGAAAGTTGTTTACATTTAGTCGTGAGAAACTGTGATATTTAGATGTGAGCTCAAGGCAATATGCTTCAAATTGAATCCCAGGCAAAATCTACTTGTGTCCTGTGGAAGGTAATAAGTAGTTCCTTGTCTTTCCATAACATCTCCCCTTATGGCATATGCAGAATTTCACATAGGCATACAGAACCACAAACATGTGCAGTGGGTAGGAGTAGGCATTATCCTCATTTTATGGTGAAATTAAAAGATGCAACCAGTTTTAAGTGGTAGTGCCCAAATTGGAGCTCAGGTCTCACAATGAAATCATCTTTCTACAAAGCTAGCCTCAATGTTCCAGGAGTTGGAAACCTGGGATAGGGCTGAAAAATGGGCAACCACCCCAATAAATACCAGTTCTTCCCCTCCTTCAAACCCCTGGCTCATCATTTGCACTAGAAAGACATTCTAACTAGTAGGGTTGTCAAAGAAACAGTAAAATATATCCATACACCACTGTGTGGAGCAGTACTAAATTCACTACCTGAAAGGTTGACATGCCATTTGCAACAGTGTAAAATACATTACAGACTGCTAAAAATTCAGCAGAAAGCTCTAATGAATGGCTCCCTAAGGATGCTCTAACAGCCCCAAACTGCAGTCAGCAGGGGAGTGAGAATGAACACTGAATACCAAGGAGGCTGCATCTACCCCTCGTCCTTCAGTAACTACAAGTTGTCTATGGTACTCAGAATCCAATTGGGGATTAAGGAAGTAGATAATGATTTGAAATATTTAGGAAGCAGGGTGATTTGTCCCCACTACCTTAGACATACCAGTGGCTCACATTTCACAGTGCATTTCAGTGACACTCCCCAGCAATCTGGTAAACCCACAGAAAATGTCTGTTGATAAACCACAGGTGGTTGCTCCAGATGATTGCACTGAAATTCATTCTTCTATGTGTATATGCAGGGTATATATTTGGATGAGAGTGGGAGGAAGAGAGTTATTAGCATCATGTATTAATTGGATGGGGAGAAAAAGACAGTGCCATGCATGAGGCTGTTGTGTATATGAATGCTCGATGCATATTTTGGCTTTTTTGGGTGTGGAAGGGAGGAAAAAGGGGAAATTTTCATAAATGCTCACTGTACCTCTCTCTCTCTCATCCTGTGCACTTCTTGTTTCTTTCAGTATAATGGTTCTCGTCCAAGGGAGGAATGGGAAATGTGGCACCCGACTCTGATTGCAGAAGCACTCTTCGCGATATCCAACATTTTAAGTTCATTGCGTCTCATATCCCTGTTCACAGCCAACTCCCACTTAGGGCCTCTGCAGATCTCTTTGGGGCGCATGCTGCTTGATATCCTCAAATTCCTCTTTATCTACTGCCTGGTACTTCTGGCTTTTGCCAACGGACTGAACCAGCTTTACTTTTATTATGAGACCAGAGCTATCGATGAGCCTAACAACTGCAAGGGGATCCGATGTGAGAAACAGAACAATGCCTTCTCCACGTAAGACACCCCCTCTCCTCTTTTGCCTTTTTTTTCTGCCTTCTCCTTTTTGCACTTTTTTCAACCCACACCTTCATCACTGCCTCTTGACAGTGCGGGCGAAGCTCACTATGAATTCACAAAAGGATCTGAGGTGGAGGAAGGTCCTTCTCTCACTACAGGGAACTAGGAGAGGAAGTGAGGTTAGGTGAGGGAGGAACGAAACAAGCACACACATGGGCTCCCAGGAAGTCATGTAAAGAGCCGTTTCTGAACCATATTGGTAGCAATGCATATTTTTAAAAGAATTAATGGGGATGGGGTAGGTAATTCCTCACTCGAAAAAGTGGCACCCATCAAGGATATGAAACAGCAAGACTACTCCTCTAAACAAGCAGTTACCAAAGCCAATTTAACTATTCTAAATCAAGCCCAAAGAACAAGAAAGGATGCAAAAATATCTTAATGCACCCTCATGCACAGGAGTAAGCTAGAAGCGGGACAGGCTGAAGGTAGCATTAGAGTCAGCTTACCTGCTAGATTAATTTAAGGTTTCAGGTGGGCCAAGTTGCACCAAGCACTGATTAGAAATGTCTTCCATTCCTACTTGGGACACAGACAGTTCATGACTCTTTGTCCGAGAGTACACTGCCTCTGAACACATAGAACTCCTGTGCCTTTTCTTGTTATTATACCATGAAGACCTACCTTTGGGGGACCTTCAAACCATTTAGAATGGCTATTATTTTCTTGCAAATCAATGTTGGGCAAATAGATAAGAGAAAAGACAATAAGCACTTGTCAGGCAATTTGTTAGGCAAAATGTCAAATTGCAGCTGCCCTGGGCTGACCCTGGACTCAGTGTCCTACCTCTTATCCAACTCCACCCCTACTTCTGGAGAGCGCAACTCATCACTCGTATCCACAGCAATGACCCCAAGGTCATGAAAGGTTCTTAGTCATTAAATTGAAATACAATGTTTTCCTTTAACTCTATAAACTAAGGCAGTTCGGCGGACTTAGACATTCCAGAAATGTGTTCAATAACAAGAGCCAGGCGGGTAAAAGGGGACGGGGGTCTTTGCTTGACTAAAAGTTTCATCGATAAATAAGGAATAAAACAATGCCAGGCCAGCGCGGTGGCTCACGCCTGTAATCCTAGCACTCTGGGAGGCCGAGGTGGGTGGATCCTTTGAGCTCAGGAGTTTGAGACCAGCCTGAGCAAGAGCGAGACCCTGTCTCTACTAAAAAAAAAGAAAATAGAAAGAAATTAGCTGGACAACTAAAAAATATATAGAAAAAATTAGCCAGGCATGGTGGCGCATGCCTGTAGTCCCAGCTACTCGGGAGGCTGAGGCAGTAGGATTGCTTGAGCCCAGGAGTTTGAGGTTGCTGTGAGCTAGGCTGACGCCATGGCACTCTAGCCCAGGCAACACAGTGAGACTCTGTCTCAAAAAACAAACAAACAAACAAAAAATGGCAATGCCATCTAGCCTACCCCTATTATTTGCCTCTAGCAGCATTTCCTAAAATGGGTTCAAAAAAACCCCAAAGAGTGCAGTGCGCACCACTCGAAGGATGGACATATTTGAAACTTGGACTTAGGGGGGGTGGAGGGGGGAAAGGGCAACATACGTAACCTAAACATCTGTACCCCCATAATATGCTGAAATAAAAAAAAAACCACAGTTCAGTGGCATGTTAATAGACAGGAAAACAGGATCATAATTAAATAAGTTTTGGAAATTCTAAAATAAAATTTAAAAAGTTTCTTCACTGTAAGACTTCTCAGAGTCAGTCTTCAATATAGGGAGAGGTTTTTCCAAATGTAATGGCTGCAGACACTCTCCTCCCTTCTTATTTTTCAAACAATCTCTCCAGTATGATGTTCCAGTCAACAAAATTTGAAAACTGGTGGCTCCCCTCCATTGCGCACTGCAGCACCCAGCCCCTGCATTAGACCACACTCCCTGTCTCTCTTCCCAAAACTCAGGGCAAAATATTGGATGGAGAAACCAGACTCATGGGTAAGGAAAGGGGGTCTAAAATGGGCTGGCAAGGATATAGTGCCAGTTTTTTATATACCAGGAGTGTATAACAGCAACTTATCACCTTGCTAGTGCCTCTTGACTAGGAACTGCTTCCTCTCCCGCATTACTCTAGAGACAGAACTCACAGCAACCTGTTTTCAATATAAAGAGCAATTTTGTAGTGGCTTGAGCACCAGGAGACTGCATTTGTTCCCATCAAAGTTGGGAACAAAATTGAACAGAATTGAACACCTGAATGCAAGATGCCTTCCAGGAAGCCAGGTCCCTGCCAATTACACTTTCATGTGAGCTCTGCTGAAGAAGTTTAGGAAATGTCTCCTTGCAAGTTTGTAGAGATTATTAACACCCCTGTTGCCAACTGACATTTTGCTCCCATCACTTGCCCGGCAGGGACAATTGACAAGAATGGGCATCTGTCATATACAAAATTATATCTTGGGGTGTCAGGTATGAAGAAGTGTTGTCCTGGGGCCAAATTTGCAGTAATGTAACCTCAACTTTCCCTCTATCGGTTGATTTTTTTTTTCCCCTCTGTAGAAGCCTGACTCAGATTTATGTTTTCTTTTAACCACCCCAACTCAGGCATTTATAATACCTGCTAAAAAACATGTTACTCAGCCAGAGCATCAGAAAGACTTAGGTTTTAGAGAAGGGAAAAGCGAGCTTCTTTATACATTGGTGGAAAGTTTGGTACCTGCTTATTGTCATCTTTCTCTTTCTGATTCTCCAGAGATGCCATTGCTATTCTTCCACTTAAAAAAGAAAAAAAAATCTTTTTTTCCCTAGGCATACAATTTAAGGGGAACTCATTGTCCTTGCTGACAGCCACATGACAGAATTGTTTTGATTTGAGTTCAGTATTCCATACTGGGAGTACCTGGCCTTCAACTGCTGTGGAGAGAAGCAATTAGGAAGGCATCATAATTCTGAGGGCACAGGAATTGTGAGAGAAAGGGTAGAAGTGGCAAGAAGCTAACTTGGTCCAGGCCTCATCTCCAGATGCCCCCTGAACAAACCTGGCTGTTCCACAGGCCCCTCAAACACAGAATGTCCACAACTAAATTCCTTATCTCCACATTTTCACCCCAACCTATTTCCCCTTTAATTCCTCATCTCATTAAATGATACCAGCCAGAATCCTAGGAGGCATCTGGGACTCTTACCCTTTCCCTCATGAAACACATCTAATGTCTCACTGCGCCCTATCAGTTCTCCTTCCTAAATATTTCCTGAATCCATCCTACACACACACCCCTTTGTCTTGGTTCATGCCCAAATTATCTCTCCCAAGGACTACTGCAACAGCTTCTTAACTGATCTCCCTGCCCCCAGTCTGGTCTCCTCTCCAAACAATCTCCCACCTGCCACATGGAAGTTTCTTTCTAAATACCAATTTCATCCTACCACTTCCTGGCTTCATGCCAGCCAGGGTATCTGAACCATCTCCATAAAATCCTGCCTCTTTACCATAACACACGGGGCCTTGGTAATCTGGCCCTTGTCTCTCCAGGCTTTCACTCCTCCCTTCGTAGTCAACATTTTGCTGTTCCTCAGCTACCGGAGAGCATCTCAGCCCTACAGACCTTTGTACATCACGTGCTATTCCCTCTGCCTGGAATGCCCCACCCAGCCAGTCTGGCAAACTCTTACCCATTCTTCCAGCTTCTGCCAAGGTGCTACCTGCTCTAAAGCCTTTCTTACCCACTCCACCCCCACTCTCAGCTGCAGGCGTCTTCTGTGTTTCCCATGGCATTCTGAGCACATCTCCATTACATTAGATAACCTGTTGCATTTTAGTCATGTGTGTCTCTCTCTCCCACCAGACAAAGACTCCCATCTTAGTAAGCTTTGCACTCACCATAGAGGAGCCTAAGACATAACGGTGCTCAACATGCCTACTGAACAATTGAGTGAAAGGATGGAGTCCAGTAGCAATTCTATCTTTTTTTAAGGCTTTTTATTTGGAGATAATTGTAGATTTACATTGTAATTGTGAGAAATAATACAGAGAGAAACCTAAACCCTTCACCCCATTTTGCCCCCGTGGTAATATCCTTACATAATTATAATACAATATCACAACCAAGAAATCAATGTTGATAAAATCCAGTGACCTTATTCAGATTTCACCAGTTTTACCTGCAAGCCATTTGCAACAACATGGATGGGCCTGGAGCAATCTTATCTTTAATTATAGATGATCTACTTCTGCTTCTTTCCCCCTAGGATAACTGAAGTATCTGACCAGCTGTCACTCTGCTGATCCACTTTGAGCTTGCTTTCAGCGAAAATTCTTGGCCTTTCTCCTACCTCTCTCATCCTGTCCTTGGGCACATGGCCTGAAAGAAAGCTCACATTGATCCTTATTATACTTCATCTCATTAGTTCCAACTCATTGCTCCAAGCTGTTGAAATCTTTCTGAATCTTTATCCTGTCATCCAATTTATTAGCTGTCCCTCCCAGTCTTGTGTCATCTAAAAATCTAAAAAGCCATGGATTCTCATCCAAAGCATTGATAAAGCTGTCAGACAGGCATGGTATTCGCTGGGTGGAATACTGGGTAGCTATTAAAATGATACATGTGAAGACTCTGTATACACACAAAGTATCTATACCCCAAGTGTATAACTTTTAAAAACACACAAATTGTATGAACTATGATTGCAACTATGTACAACTAGCTATCCAAACAAATAATAATCTGTAAAGACAATAAAGATATGTGAAACAACAAGGTGGAAAATTTTATAATAGTAATAAAAATGACTAATATAAACTGAGTGCTAGGGCCAGGCACTATTATAAATCGTCTTTACTTGAATTAACTCACTTAATCCTCACTACCATGCTATGAGGTAGACACTACTGTTATTCCCCATTTTTTAGTTGTGGAGACTAGGATACAAAGCAGTTAAGCAGGCTGCCCCCAGATGCATAGATGGTCAGCGGCAGAGTCAGGATTTCAATCC